AGTGAATGACTCACTCGTGAATTCAGTGACTCACTCATAAAGACAGTCATTTGTTGCCACCCAATGATAAAATGTAACCTGCAGAAATAGGGAAGGGGGCACAACACAAAGTTTCATTCCAGTTAAATAGAAAATTACATTGTTTTCCCTTATATTCTCCCCCTTTTTCACATCTCTCATCCTGTCAATGTATCCCTCTTCCAAAAATATTTCTTAAGTTCAAAAATATTTGTACCCTGTCAAATGAGGTATGTATATGGCCTTTTCATACTCCTGTTAATTACTGCTGGATTAACCAGGGGCGGATTTAGTGAATTGGGGGCCCCAGGCAAAATATAGGAATGGGGCCCTATACATTTTCACACATTTTCCTAGATCCACCTTGAGGTTCCTTTCTTGTTGTGATGCTTGCTGCTGCACAATGGTGCCCCATAGTTGTGTCCAATGTTTCTACATTTTCATGTACATGTTATAATGGATTTCTTTCATGTTGTGTTACAAAATTTGTTACCATTTGGAACAAAATGGTAAAATACATATATCAAGAGCATGCTCACAGATGAGAACAAAACAGTGTTGGATGAAATGGATTAGAGCCCTGCACGGGTCTCAAATAGGCCCTAGCCAGTCTTTTCCCCCTTTTCCCAAAAAAAAAGCTTATACTACTGTTTCAGCTATTAAAATAGTTCAGTTTTGTCTGCTCTCATGTGAGGTACAGTAAAGAGCCTTCCCAAATTGAGTGAGCAGAAACCGAACTTCCAATTGGAATTCAATTGTACGTGCAAACGCAGATTGATACAAACCGCTCAATCAAAATTGTGAACCAGAAATAACTTTTGTACACTAGCAAATTGCAAATTTTAAAAGAAGCGTTACCATTACACTGAAGCGTTATCCACATCACTGTCAAAAACTCTCAAAAGCAGATGCCGATGGCTTTTCAAGAGGGGAGTAGTCTTTCACAATCCACTGGTATGTAATGCTCATTTTTTTAACCATCCAATCACAATCAGATCCCATCCTACTTTTTTCTTCTTCTTCTTCTTGAACAATGAATTTCACTTAGTAATATGTAATATTAGAGTAATAAGCTGGGTTTAAGTATGAAATGGGCTGCGAATCCTGAGTAATATGCATGAAAGAGCATTCTTCTGTTGTCAGGTCTGACAGGGTTTGGGAAGAAATCTAATTGGGTGGATAGAGTTACAGCTTACTTTGAGTTGTCAGTCAGCTTGGTGCTGATAAACTTAGCTTCTTCCTGAAGTCTCACATACACAGTGCCACCAGAGACAGAGTGGATGGGAAAATGAGGGCAAAATAGGTGGGAAATGGCCTTTGGGAAGTAGTCTCTCTCCTCACTGGGGTATTTATTCAGTATTTTCACAGCAGAAAGGGTTAAATCTATCTACAAAATGTTCGTTGTCAAATAAAACTGTGAGAGTGCATTAACCCCTCCCAGGTCCATTTGTTATAGTTTCATTATCTATGCTGATCTAAGAAAATGCAATGATAGCATAGCAGTTTTATTACCCTCATCATCTATATAGTAATTGACAAGAAGTTGTCACCGTTTCAATCTATTTTAGTAAGTCAAAAGTCCAGTTAAATGTATTTTTCTTCCTCTTAATCTGACACATTGAGACTGTAAAGAAAATATGTTAAAGACAAAAAATAACTTTATCTTTTCAATACGTTTCATGTCTTTTTATTCATTGCGATTTCACTTTTTTAACGTTAGTTAGAGTGTAATGTTGCTGTTTAAGCATAAACAATATCTGCAAAGTTACGAAGCTGAAAGTTCAATGCAAATGGAGATATCGTCTTTTAAAATTCTGGCAGTTTAATGCCTACAAAAACGGCTGGTAGGGACTACAACAAGTTACTTCCCGGGTTCGTGACATCACAAACCCAGATAAACCCCGCCCTCTGGAACACGCAACGAAGGGGGCGATGCCATGCTGCGATGCTTTAGAGAAGAGGAAGAGAAAACTAGAGGTGTTTTAAAATCTATTCATATATGAATCACGATTCTGTTTTCTAACGATTCTAATGGATTCACAAGTTTCAAAATCAATGTTCTAAAGCAGAGGTTCTTAAAACTGTTCCTCGCGTCCCCTGCTCTGCACACGCTCTGCATCGCTCTCTCTCTCTCTCTCATTCAGCTCAGCTCCAACAATGAACTGTTCCAATTATACACTTACTTTCACATAGCTATGAGAAGCGTTAAACATGGACACGCGTGCAGTTGCCGTATTAAAGCTTTAATCAGGACAAGATAAAACCCTTTCATTATGTATTTTATCAAATCACATAAGTTTGTAAGAAACTTTAATTTTCCAAAAAAAAAAATTTATTATAGTAATATAATGTACCACATGCTGATCAGAGGGATGTGGGTGGGATGTAATGCCAGAGTAAAGTAAAGCCACAACTTACACAACAGTGCTCAGATCTTTTTTCCTCACAAAATCAATATAATGCAATATTTCTATCTGCTGAATGTAAGCTTTTCCATATTCCAAGCTTGCCTGCTGCACTGGGGACATCACGTGCATGTGCGAGTCGTGAAAATTATGAAAATAAATCTAGGAATTATTTGACTGTTGGATTTTAAATCAGCGGGGGTTGAGGCATCAAAAGTAACTAAGTAACTAAGCTGTTTTATGGATGGTAACTGTAATATTATTACCGAAATCGTATTAGTAATTAGTTACACTACTAGCTACTGCAAAAAGTAATATTATTACAGTAACTAAGTTACTAGTTACTGCCCAACACTGCTGTCTAACTAAATGAGAAATGTAATATTTACATGTAATATTTATTTAATATTTTTCTTTTCTTTTTGCATGTCAAAAAAAATAAAAATTTTTAACAGAAAGTAAGTTAACATGTTCACAAAATTTACATTTTGTAAATATTTTTTTGTGAAAAAAAAAAAATGGGATAGACAGAGGATTAGCCGTGAATTATTGAATAAAGCATGTTTTTCTACAGAGGCAGTGTGTCATGCTCCGATGTAAGCTGTGCATAACTAATTGTATTTTTCTGTAGCTATATTTCAGTTGATAGACACTCTGTAATATTATTATGCATATTAGTTTTACCTTTGTTTTATCTCATTTATTCTTGCCTAAGGAGGACAACCACTTATCTCATTCTCCCCCTACAATGTAAATGTATTTCAACAACACTTGGAGAACTCAGGGTGACTTGTGCTCCAGCAGCTGTTATTTCCTGAAGAGTACTCACAAAAGAATAGTTTTTAAGACACAGTCAATCTAAACAATTTATGAGTTAAGAGAGAGAGTGAAAAATAGGAGTGACTTAAGCTGAAATACTTAATAATCATGTGATGAACATGCCACTTGATTTGTTATGCTGTTTCACCTCCTTTTAGCGCCATCTACTGGCACATCAGTTACCTAGCTGATATTTTTGATTATCATCTCAGGGTCAGTCAAAAGGCTTATTATGTTTCAATTCTATATAATTTCTGTAGATTTCTAGGTCTTTTAGTTGCTGATGTCTAATTTCTTGCCAAGATCCAAAGTCCAAAGACTTAATCACGTGGTCTTGGACTTGCGGTGTCTTTGAGACATGTAAACATGGTCTCAACAACTGAATTCTTGGTCTGGATCTGGGTCTTTTGGTCTCTGGCAAGACTAGGGTTGCCACCCGTCCCTTAAAATACGGAATCGTCCCGTATTTTAATGATGCGTCCCGTATCAAATCAATACGGGACGCGATTTGTCCCTTATTTTACAAAGGCCAATAAAGCTGAATCAACAAATAAGTATTTTTGGCGCCATCTAGCGGCAAAGCAACTCATTCAGGTGTGTTTGACATTAATAATAAAGACCTTGAATGTGTTCTTGTTGTTGGGTTGGTAACTTTTTTTTTTTTTACAAGGCATTGCTTTCTTTTGCATACCTTTGCTTTGCATACAGTGTAATCTTATCAGTAAAATATGTGAATGTTTAAAAGGTGATTATTTACTAAGTGTAGCAGTCAAAGGTCACAAGCCTGACCCAGGATAAGAGTTTGAGAGTTCTGCTCATGCTCACAGAGAGTCATGCTTGAAACATGTAAGTATGAGGTTCTAAGGTTCTGATATAACTTTTTTTTTTTTTGGCTGTTTATACCTATATGTATTTTTGAATTTAGAAAATATTTACTACAGCTATTATTGCAAGAATTATAATTAAATACAAATAATGGCCAGAACAATAAATAAAATGACAGAAAGAGCTTCATACTTTTCCGTTGATTTAATTTAGTGTGACTTTACAGAATTAACCATGGTGTTTTGGCCTAAACTCCAATTATTTTTTAGATACAGAATTAATTTACCTTTAGTTTAGCATATAACCTTTTATGTTAAATGGTTAAAATATATATCTAATTTCACTTCCACAAATGTATCTATTTTATTAGACATAATAATAGTAAATGCAGTTTTATGAGATCATATTAATTAAGAGAATACATGAATATTACAAGCACAACTGTGATATAATAATACAACAATCTATATAACAGTATTGTTGTTGTTGTTGTTGTTGTTGTTGTTGCTGTTGTTTTGCAATCAGCCATGATTCATTTATTCCACAAGTGAAAGTGAAAAAGAGAGTCAAGTCAAGTCAAGTCACCTTTATTTATATAGCGCTTTTAACAATACAGATTGCAAAATAACAGCTTTTATTAATCTACTGATATGACTTGAGTCTTCATCTCAAATATAAATACTTTTTAAAGTTACATTTATTTATTGGTGTAAAATTATATATAATATAAAAAAAATAATAATAAGCAAAGCGATAAGAATAAAAAATCAAAGTAACAAACAAACAAATATGGCTATTTATCATTTACAACCCCCCCCATCCAAAAAAAAAACAAAAAAAAAATACAATGTGTGTTTTGATTCCAAAATTTTTAGTAGACAGTGCTGCGGCTCCTTTAAGAGATCAACGGACGCGTCTAGGAGATCTGCCCGTCTGCTGTGTGTGTGAGTTCGGTGACATCAACAAGACACGCAGATCCGTGTTCTCTGGGGGGGACTGACATTAACTCACACATAATCAAGACCCTTGGGACATCGCACAGCTCTTTTAGACAGCAGAGGGGAAGAGCGTCGCTGCTGCTCAGGGATCTGGTGTATATTTACAGCAGTTTTCCAGCAGGTGTTACTGAAGGATCTATCACAGACTATCAGCAGGGTTCATGAAACTTTGCTACGATTTGCGAGCTCGGCGCTGTGAAATCAATTAAAATATCAAAATAATGGAATCAGTGATCCATCAATTAATTGATCTGTTGTTTAATATATGAATTAATATTTTGATAAATTAATCCATAGATTTAATAATTCACTGCCCTATTGAGTCACTAATTAAACCATTGTGAAATCAACTGCATCATTGGAATCCACTGAATCATTGATCCATTGTTTCATTGATCATTTGTGTCATTGATGATTTAATCTTGTGATTAATTAATCCATGGCTTTATTAATTCATTAACCTATCAGTCACTGATTAATTTGTCCATTAGGAAATCAACTAAATAATTGAAATCAGTTGAATCACCGACCCATCGATTCATTGATCTGATGTTTTGTTGATTTATTGAGCCAATGATATATACATTTTTTTAAATGATTTGGTCCATGATTCATTTATTCATTTGATCACTGATTGATTCAGTCATTTTCAGATTCACTGGTTTCAGATTAAACTGTTTCTCAAGCAAACCATTTCTTTGATTAGTATGAAGCCAGTATTCCTGCACTGAGAGAGGTTATGTAGGCATCACCTGTAGATTTGAACTCTGAGTATGACTCATGCACAAATAAAGAAGTACATTTTGTACTTTTGTTTGTTATGTAGCATAGATTTGATCTTGAATGAACTGCATTTAATTTCTCTCTCACCGATATGAATGTCCTTGTCATTGTTTGCGGTTGTAAGTCATGCCGTTCCTCCAGTGCTCTCTCTGGTGTTCAGTTAGAAGTGAATCAGAGGGCCTTGGTGGTGGATATCTGTGTGGAGATGTGGGCAGTATAGATATCAGTGGGTTATGTGGGTGGACACATTTAGTTCCGCCTTGTGCACTTGACTAGAGACTTTTGCAGCTTTCACAGCATGCATAATCACAATAATATCCAAATATAATTTCATAATAAGCACTGAGAGCTCTCAAGGCAAACCCTGTTTTATAATGTAATTTTAGTGAGAGATGGCTACAATTAAAGCTCATGACCCTGTTGTTTGTTTTCTGCATCTACGATCTATGCCATTATTTTCTGTACATAATACCTTTTTGATCTTACCTGTGTATTTTGGCATTTTAACTTACTAAACTATATGCGGTAGAGCACCGAATAAATAAATAAATTAAATAGTGACTCTCATGTTCATGTTTCAAACCTTTTTGACTTTCATGCTTCCATGGAAAATATTAATTCATTTCTATTTACATTTAGTCAAGTCACGTTTATTTCTATATCACATTATATACACAGACTGTGTCAATGCAGCTTTACAGAGATAAATAGGAAAATGACAGAATTAATTATGGAAACTCAGCTACGGAGACAGTTCAAAAAGAAAATAGTGTCATTATTTAGTTCAAATCAGTTCAGTTCAATAACAATGTAAAGTTCAACAATTTGAGACAAGTTCAACTCCGCTATAATAAGCAATTCTACAAATGCAGCAATGTTGTTATTCAGTTCAAATTTGTTCACTGCTGATATTAAACTTCAGTTTAATATCCGTGTCAATGTTGCAAGATAGGATTCAGCTGCAAAACAGCTCTACAGAAGATTGTGCCATTCACAGTTTATTCATTTAGCAGTTGTGTTAGCAAAGTGACTTACAAATGAAAATAACAAGCAATTAATGTGGAAACGTTGGGCCTGTAAACATTTGATTGCACATTAGCTTTTTTGTAAAATCTTAAGCATGACACAAAAACTTTTATACTTTACAAATTGTGCAATAGTTCAAAAACTATTGCATTATTTCAGTTATTGAAGCACTTTCAAAATAGTGACATGCACAAAATCTGTGGGAAATCCACAAATGGCACTCCAGGGATCTCCTCTATACTTTGGTCAGTGAGTCTTGCTCGGGGCAGGAAAAGCACCTGAAATCCATTTACAACCTGTTGCAATTTGAGATGTTCTTTTGGCTTTGGCCTTCAGAACAGAAGAGCAAATGAATTCCCTTCCGCTTTAAAAGGTCAGCCCTAGAGACTACTGAGAATATTCATTCACATGGTTTTGTGAAAATCCTGAGGATATGAGCATGTGTCAGAGAGGTGACTTCTGGGTAAAACGTGATATAATAACATATTTTAGAGAGAGGGGTGGGGGTTCACATTTAATCAAGAGTCATGTTATTTAATAAAACCAAAATTTAGTGGCTTTCTATCATCCATTAGTGTGCATATGTTCATTGTAAAAGCTCCAGATTGTTAATTATGTAAATCAGCTTATTAGTATTAAGTAAATAAAACATTGCTGATGAATAAATACATGGTTATTGTTATGTTTATGTAAGGTTTTTAAGTCTGTTAGTTTTATCTTTCCTTTTTTATTATTTTCATTGGCTTTAAATTGCATCTGTAAATGTTTGTATGACATTATAATGTTTACTTTTTTCTTAAAATCATACATTGGAGTTTTTTAATATTTTATATACATTTAGTTTTATTAATTTATTAATTGATTATTATTATAGTCAACATCTTAAGACCATAGCAAGCTTATTTTTCATAGTACATTTTTAAAAATTATTATTATAAATTATTGATATTTTATATGATTTAATGAAAACAACATTGCTGAGACACTTATACAGTATTTACGAGCATCAGCCAATGCCAGTAATCTCAAATTAAATTGGCAGGATGATATATCAGTCTGTCAGTACTATTGGCTTACTGTAATAAAGCCACTTTGCATCTTCATTATGTGTAAGTGAGATTTCTCCAGCAGGTTTGCAGTGTAACACCTGTGTCCTCTTTAACTATTTTTTTAAGTTTTCTGTAAAGTGTTTACTTGATTTTGATTTTCCTTAATATTTTTTGTACTCTGTTGACCCTGCAGGGCTGCCATACATAATGTTAAGGTAAAGCCTAAAGCAGCTGTGTTGAACATGCTAAAGCGGCTGGACAAAATAAGATTCCGTGGTCCAAAGCGAGATGACTTCCTGGATCTACCCGAGTCCCCCACGGGATCGGACACTGAATGTAGTGATGACATACTGCTGAGACCTCGACCTTCAATACGAGACAGTGACGAGCAGAGAGACCCTGTAAGTAATTACAAACACTCTCATGTCATTTGACAACTTTGTTTGTTTCTGTTGAATACAGTAAGTGTAAAGGACTCATTTAAGAACTTTTAATTATGTAATAAATGTGTTAAAGTAGCTACCTTTATAGATAACATTTTAAGGCATCGTAGGTTTGTGTTCAACAATATAACAACATTATGCTGCCTTCTAAGGTAATGTTGACTTGGATTTGGACTTGGGGTTATATTATATTTATTATATTATATTATATTTTAGACCAGGGGTCTCCAAACTCGGTGGGGGCCTCCAAAGGGCCGGTGTTCTGCAGAGTTTAGCTCCAACTTGTCTCAACACACCAGCCTGGAAGTTTCTAGCATGTCTAGTAAGACCTTAATTAGCTTGTTCAGGTGTGTTTAATTAGGGTTGGAGCTAAACTCTGCAGGACACCGGCCCTCCAGGACCAAGTTTGGAGACCCCTGTTTTAGGCCTTCAATAGCCGCGTTTCTACTGCCGGGCCAAAAGTGGGCGTGCTACTGCGTGCCAGGGCTAGTTGCCTTTCCACTGTCACTTCTGGGGCTTGATCGTGCCTCGTCGGGGCTTCCTCGGGGCCAACAGCCAGGGTTTTTTGGCCAGCCGAAGCCGAGCTTGGGCTTGAGGAGTGGTTATGAACAAAGACGGAGTTTCTCCGAGTCTGGAGAGCATCAGCGGATCATTTCATATAGTTACCAGCTAACATCAGCATTAAAGTCTTTCAAAAATTATTTTAGCTCAAAACTCACTTTGAGACAGCAGTGAGTGTTTGAAATAACATGTTTGAGATCTGTTTATGATCACCATACTAGGCAGAAATATTTATATGCGATGCAAAAGATATGCACGCTTTACCATAATGGCCATTACCATAGTAAACTTGGTAAATATGATCGCTTGAAGAAATCAGAAAAATCATATAGTCTATCACAATCATGTATTTATTTGTTACATATTTTATCTGTCAATAAGTCTTGTCTCTTTATACCTGACTCTCTGATGTTCATATTTATCTCTACGTATGCCATAAAATATATCATAATATATCATATTTTTTTGCTTGGGAGCTCCCTCTGTTTCTCTGACTGAAAATATAACAATGTTTTGTGACTGGAGAGTAGGGCTGGGCGATATACCTAAAAAATGTATCAATGATATAATGTTTCATATCGTTCGGTATCGATAATTATTGACATTTTTTATAACCTTTTTTAAAACAAAGAGCAATAGAAAATTATTTTTACATTTAACCACTGTATTTTTGAATTAACTCAATTTATTAAGACAAACAACAAATATTTTTTTGTTTTAACAGTCAAACACAAAATAAAAATTAAACAAATATCTCATTTCTAATGTTTTATATGCAGGTTAAATAGGTTAAACTTTTGGCTTGTTTCCCGAGGCCACAGGAGGGCGCAATGAGCAAAATAATGCAGCACAAAAAATTGTCAAAGCAAGGAAATAATTGTCTATAAAAATTAACTCATAAATATAATTTCGTAAATTGCATAAACAATTATGAACAAAACAGCATCACGTATTAGCTCTTTATGCAATACAGATTGTGTCAAAGCAGCTTTACAATGTTAAACAGGAAAAATGTGTGCTGATAATGCAAGAGGACAATAGAAAACAGTCAGTCATTGTTGATTCAGTGATGTTATCATCTAGCTCAGTTCAGTTCTCTTCCACCACTGTCTCACCACAGTGCTATTTCTGTGGTGCATGTCGTTGTTGCCTAGTGTTTTAAATCATTTCCATGGCAGTTAGAATGTTGTGTTAAGGAGGTCACACACCAGACGAGAGGCGTAGCACCGTGCTACATCTTTAAAATTGTACACACACCGATGGTGCCACTTAGCGTCTGTCCACGGCATCCAGCTACACCTATGGAGGCTGTTCATAAAGAATGCTACTGGCATAGTTTTACATTAAATTATATTTGTCCCGAATAATTCTTTCACATAATGACTTGTGATTGCATTTTTCACCAAAATGTTTGACTTTGTGTGGCTTGAATTAAGTCCATATGCACAATGTGGAACGGCGTGACTCTTTAGGGACAGCTTTAGGGACCATTCAAACAGGATGCATTTTTGTGATGAAAAATGCAGAATGCAAGCAGTGGAATGGAGAAATATAATGCAAGGTTTGAGATTATATTTTATTTATTTTATTTTTTTTTACGTTTTTAAAATGCTGTGTCATGTGCATCAAAAGCATCCATTTAGCACATGTTTACATAGAAAAACAATGGAATAGTATCTCTTGTTTAATGTTCTGCCTCGTCATTATCTCATTCACCTAGTTAAACTAAGCTGATATTCCTAAGAAATACAGGAAGGCCTCAGACCTTGCAGGCAAATGATGATTTAATGCACTTTACCATCCTGTTAACACCAGACACTGTAGCTTCAGTCTGGTACCTTTTCATTTCACAGATGGTTTATGGAAGAATTATTTGCCGTAATCGTGTTAGAGATGTTTTCTGAGAGGTTTGTAGTCCTATCTCTGTAATTTGGTGTTCTGTTTATTTTGAGGCTTTCCCCTCAATGATGGAGCCTCAGATTAGTCATGGTGTTGCATAAGTGTCTCACAGAAGAGCCAACTTCCTCTGCTTCCATCTTCATCATGAGCGTGTGTTTTTGAAATGTAAACTGAGATGTCAAGTGAAAGGCCTGTGGGTTTTCTCTCTAGCACATCTCTTGGATGCTGTAGGGTGTCATACTATACAGTAGTGTGTCCAATGCTCATCCCTCAACCATGGCTCTGTTCCAAAACCTAGTGAGCTGCCCACCGAGACAGTAGTTTTAGGCATCGCTGAATGTTCCAAATTGTAGATAGCAAAACCTTTCGTCTATTCAACTGATCTCCAAACCGCTTATCATAAATAGGGTCTTGGGAATGCTGCAGCCTATTCAAGAATCTCTGGCAATAGGCAGGGAATCACTCTTGATGGATAGCTGGTCCATCGCAGGGCTAACACACACACATTCACACCAGCAATTTAGTCTTTTCAATTCACCTATCCAGCAATGTTTTTAGATTGTGGGGGAAACCAGAGCATTCAGAGGAAACCCACACCAACACAGGGAGAATATGAAAACTCCACACAGAAAGGCCTATTGGCTCAACCAAGAGCAGCAGAACTACAAAATTAAATTTTCAAGAAAAGGGGTTCTGATCAATGCAAAACTCATATCTTGTGGGTTTTATGGTTAGTTAGCAGGGTGTTGCTATGTGGCTGGTAAGGTTTTTCTGAGTTGTTTTTAGCATGTTACAAGGTGGTTAATAATTGATCCAATCCATAGCCAGATTCAAGGCTTGTTGCAACTGAGTTTTTGTCCAAAATATCCTCAATTGTGTGGTGTCATTATGATTGTATTACTGCTCCTGACTGAGTTGAAGCCTCCCCTATCCCAAAAAAAATATCAAACATGTTTGATATTTGCGATTCTTGATCTGGCTGCCTCCGACGGGATACCCGCAGCAGCCAATGAGAGCGAGTAATCTTCACCACTGGATGTTGCATACATTTTTATACAAGTGTGTGGTTTTGCGGTCTGACTGAAACATCTAGTGTGTATGTTCGGAAGATTATAATGTTAAAAATGGGTTCTTAACCATCAACTTTAACCATTATGTTTTTGTGCTTATTAGAGTATTGAGTCATTAGCTTAGCAAACATCAGACCCCTTATGCTAACATCAAACTTCTAAAACAAGATCATTTCTGCCCATAAAGAGTTTTCTTATTTAAACTTATGATATTTTCAGTATAAGATACTGCCTTAGAATGCAGATGCCTGTGTATTCATTATACACTGAGGCAACTCACTAAAGTCTGTAATTAAATAAACACATTCTCTTCTCATTCTCCTGTTGGCATGGATCTAGGCCATGAGCAGTATGAAATGAGTTGGATGAGGAGAAGACCAAAGATCTTTGGTGGAAGCTGAGGTCTCTGAGAAAGTTTTTGTGGGAAACAGACTAAATATGACCGCAGAAGACTTGCACTCTATAATTACATTTTTTTTCTTGAAATTTATAGACACCACCTGTCACACAACAGATTAGTGAAAACAACTTGACATTTCCAAGTCTTTGACATTTTACTATTGTTAACAATGTTGTCTGTTGATGTACCTAGTGAAACAACAGCATCAAGCTACTAGACATAACAAAAAATTGTGCTGGTAATAACAACAGTAGTGTATTAGCTTTATTTACTGTTGTCACTGGAAAAACTGTATGGACATCAGACGTAAACAGCCATGGACGTTTATGAGGCAAGAGTCACGTCTTGTTATCCTCTCAAGCTGAAATCCTATCAAACCAGCACACGTGGTCACAAATTTAAATTCCAAGTGCACTCACTGATTTAAAGTCTGGGTTAAGGGAGTGGCATGGAATTGTGGGAGTAGCCTAGTCATTCGCTGTGAAGTGTAAATTGACACATGAATTTCAAAACCCTATGGGGGCATTTTCATCTTTGCTTCCTTACTAAATTCTGTTCCTGATCCGTTTGTTTGAAAACTTCTAAACGTTGACTGGTTCTTGTTTTCCTTCACATTGTAATGTGAAAATGTCCCTTATTTGGATTCATTTAGATTTTAAAGATTTGTTATTATTCAGATGATAGGTTAGCATGCTAGTGTCAATTTATATCCAAATGTTCCCAAGGTTCCATGCATCCATTAACATTTTTTTTATTATTATTGTTAGTAGTGTTTGCTTTTCCATTTCTAATTGATTGGACAATCTTCATCTGATAGGACTTATGAAACAAGAAGGAACTAGCCAAATCTAGGCACCAGAATATCATGGATGTTTGAGGGCAGCCTCCTTAGACTTGGGTCAGTAAGAAATCACCTAGGAACCACCCAGAACAACACAATAACAACATATTGTCACACTCGCTGGTGGGAGATCAAGCGCACAACTCAGAAGGTGAATAACATACAGTCTTTAATAGTAATCCACAGG